ATCAGAATATCAAGCAAGTAACCGAGATAAGAATAGTTGCTTAATTCTCCGGGTTGTTGTCACTGTGTTCTTGTGAGGACTCTATGAATTGAACAGGTTCCATGATTCTCTAGGCAGTTTAACCTACCACAACGAATTTCAAGATCTGGCGTGATCAAGCATGTTTGTTTGTTGTAACGGGTAACTCTCTAAATGGCACCTAGATTGCGCCTCGTATGTAACTTACAAGTTCTTTGATATTCTTTTTAACCTCGAGATAAGCGTGACCGAAGTGCAATCACAACCATTTCAATTCCGATCGAGAATGTCTTCTGCTGTGCCGAAAGAAAAAAAAAACCAACTGGTCACCGCTATTGACAGGTTAGTGAAGCATTATTGGGACGCATTAATTCTCCTGGGATTCTTCTTCTGTTATTTGTTCAACCGGTTTATTCAGCTTGTCTTAGGTATCCTATGTATATCCGTTGAGATCCTGGTTTGTTAATTGTTTGTCAACTGCAGATGAAGCAAAGCTATTCCGATGACATCAAATTTTATTCTTAAATTAATTTCCTCGTGTTGCTCAAACGCCAGCGAACGCAAACTTTGATTGTATTATTTGAATAAGGGAAAAATATCCCGTTTCGACTTTTTAATCGTGCAGAGTTACGGTGCTGCGTGATTAGCGGGTCTATTTGCCCCGTAAGCTGAGATATGTTTATCTTTTGACACCTGAAAACAATGAGGCGGTGTAGGATTTTGCCCAATTCGACATATTTGGCTCAAATGAAATGTATGAAATCGAGGATTTATCACTCACATCCTGTCACGGTTTACTTGAAAGTAAGCGGTCTCATCCAAAACCCTTTAAGCATAGCTAAAAATAGGTCCACATAAATTCGGATGTACTATACCAAAACGTACGTTGTTGAAATGCCATAATTTGTGACAGGTCTTTGACAAATAAATCGCTCCCCGAGTTCTGCAGGACGCTTGGGCGGAACTTGAGCACTTGAATGCATTTCAGGTGCACCTTCGTAATTACTTGGGTGATGTAACTCAGGATTAAATAAAACAAAACAACATGCCAAAGTGGAGCTCTATTACAGCCGTTCGTAGAACTATATAGAAGTCGTGCCAAGCATTACCTGTGCGAACAAGTCATAAATTTCGCCCGCTACTTTGAAGAGTACAGCCCAATATATTTTATCGGCTTTTGTTTGAAATAATAATCATGATAATGATAACGAGAATATGGATGAGTGGCACGTTCATTGAAAAAATTCGAACCCTTCTTACAGATGACTGATTCAGAAAACCTCAGAGGTGAAACATGGGAGCGGTATATCCATCTACCATCTACTCACTAATAAAGCTTTTTTGGATGGTTCGCTTTTACTTTTCAGTTGATTTTCTGTTGTTGGAAGATCTGTTCACGTGAGAGTCAATCCACCCTCGCACCATGTGCATTCTACCTAGCTGGACGTGCTTACTGTCTCATGTCTGACAAGCATATGTGGACTGATTTATTGTGAGTAACGTTCTTCGGCTGGTCTTCTGTTTGGAGATTTCGGGTGTGTTTGTCACATCTCTCTAATTTTCGGCCGAATGTGAGAATCTACGTCCTGGCATCCTTTTGGTAACCTTATTACTTTCCAATAGAGTGGTCTGCATTGTGTTTGTCTGAGGTGAGTAATGTGAGTTACCGAATACTGTACAACGCTCAGTTAACTCATATCTCCATGCAGTAATGTGTTGCCCCAGAATCACAAGGTACTGGATGCATAGAAACAAATGTGGAGCGACCAGTCTCACCAAAAAACCTCAAAATATGGCTAGCCGCATTTAACGAGTTTTGCCGTACTGTGTGTAAAATGCTCGGAGAAAATCCCTCTTGAATTTTCGACTAGAGAGAAAATGCTAAGGTTTAGCGCATTCCAACGGAGAGTTTTGAATCCGACGTCAATGATGTGGACAAGTCCTCTTGGTAAAGGAATATTTGAGATACTGAAACGAAAAGCGGAAGGACTCTATAAGATTCAGATCCAAACAGTTTGCAAGGCGACAGGATCTGTGACTATCAACAATAGCATTGCTTTTTATCTGACTGCAGCTGACCAATGAACACAGTGCAGAAAAACAGTTTCTTCGACAAGATTGGTTTTATCGCGCGATTGCACGAGTGTTTTTGATACTCGGGTGTGGTATGTCCGGGCAAAAGGGAAACGGATACAACGGTTAACGAACTCTCATTAAATCGATGTTTTGGCAATTTGGAGGATCCAGTAGGTGTCATATAACGCATTTGAAGTTAATAAACCACATAAGCTTCCCTATTCTTATCTTGACATTCTCAAAATTCAGAATTTCGTCGGTAGAGTTCCGATTTTTCGCTGGTATATATATATATATATATATAAAGTACGCTCGTTTGCCTCACTATGAAGTGCAAGTTGTGCTCGTGTGCTGGTTGCTCATGTGTTGGTGACATGTTGCTACTTACTATACAGAAACCATACAAGGAAGTTGATACTGTGTGCATCGGCTGACGTAAACCTCTGCCTGCACCATTTTGCTGCTTAGAGGAGGATACACGACTAGTACGGGAAGAACTAGTAGTGTTTACCGCGCACCTGAAATGCGCATGGACTACAGGTGACAGTCTTGTGTAGTCACTTGTGCGCTACTTGGAAAATTTAAGGTGGATTTGGAGTCTTCTGTCCGGAAATCCAAGAGTCTGGTCGCCTGACGCAATTAACCAGATGGTTCATGTCAGAATTCACGTTCATTCATCTCAAGCGATCCACTGGAACACAGAATCGGTTTCATGTTCACTACGGGGTTCGCGAAGTAAACCAATTACAGTGTAGGATTTTCGGCGTGAAAAATAAACAACTGAAGTTTATGTTCACTTTTCGGAGAGTCGATGCGAACAAATTAAATTGCATAATGTCATGCATCTACTACAGGTACAAATATGAGCGGTTCGAGAACCGAGTTTATGTACGGAGGCATCAGAATTTACCCACCACACCTTCTCGTGGCAGACATCTAATGCAACTCATTCGGAATGTATCTGGTTTCCGAGGATTTTATTTGTTGTCAAGGGTCGAAGTACCCTGTATTCCAGATATGGCCTAAGGACGACATCTGTGTTTGCATGCCAAAATTATTAAGACGTTACAAAACTTGGTCCATATCAGTTTATTTATTCACCACGTTATTCACTTATCATTGACTTTATTCGACTCAAGCCGATGCTCGAATTTAAGCTTACGTACGAATGTGAGAAAATATTACGACAATATTCACAAATCCGCCTAACTCGGATTTTCTTTTCTCATGAACATGTGTGCAAGAAGTCTGTAAGCAAATAATCACGTTAATATATGCGTGCTTAGCAGTAGCGGAGTACTGCGGTCAACTCGCAATCCTCGCCTAGGAACGTTCAGTGAGAAACCGAGCATCACATGGTAACGCGAGTGAAAGTGTCTGCGGTTGAATGAGTGTTTTGGGATGTTTGTTCGTTTTTTTGTTTTAATAAGGCCTCGCATTTACAATAAATTTTTTTATCAACTGCAACGCACAGATTTCACGAAAGGCATGGTCATCCTAATAGTTTGGTTTTTTGCGCGTATTGGTCCCAGTAAAACTCGTTTTACCATACATGAGTATGGATAGTTCGGATGAAATATCTTTGACTGATATCATGAGATATTTGATGTCATAATGTAAAACATCGCATGGCATCAAAGTTTTAAGTACGTGCCAAACCGTAGCGTGTACCATGTGATCTAATTGTTGGCCGTTTTATACCTTATCTTTCCGTATATTATTTGTTGATAAACAGAGCGATCTTAAAGGTAGTTCTACCTCCCAACATTGTGCACACATCGAGCAACAACTTCTTTGAGTGCAATTAGCAGAAACCACACATACAATGGAACGTCACATCTGGTGTCTCCATTTTACCGTCTCATGCGATATCCTAGTTTGTCAGGCTTGTGTTTGGAGGTGTGGGTTTTGTTGAGGCTGAAGGACATAAGTTGATATTTATTTCGCCAAAGATCAATTGTGTTCACATGGCTGATGGTTACTGACCATTGAACGGGCTTTCGTGCTTGGTGTGCCAGATTTGCGGGAGATTCTGCACAGCGAATTTCCGCCCAGGTATGTCTTGCAGTGCGGTGTTATGAATTGCTTCAAAAATACCCTGTACCATTGTCAGGGCATTCAGTGTGGTTTCTTTCCTCCATTCTATTTTTTGCAATTAATGATATTCTAGCATGGTAAGCATGCAATTCTCTGGTTTCCAAAAATCCCTGTTTGTAATTTTTCGTGGGCACAGCTTACATATCTGACGCCATAATCGGTTAACTGTATTTGGTAAACCTCGTTCGCAGTGATCGTCTTCAGGTGTGTTAGTGCGAAGTAGGGACCAGATCTAATCACTGAAAAGCCTAATTCGATACCAAACACAGAAATCATTAAAGGTGCCTTTTACATCTCTTCACTACGTAATGAGAAAACAATTTTAGTCGTGCTTTCAATAAACCACTGGGAAGTTAGCTACACAGAGCCTCTGACAGTCAAGCGTGAATGCTGCGTAAGAGACTTACTCATTTTCAGATCGTCAGTTTGATGACTTACGCATGCCCTTCTACTTCCATGGAACCATGCACCTTTCGGCCTAGCTGACGAGAGCCTCATTGTGCTTTTGATCTCAACATAAATTTGACCACATGATAAATCTTTTGATTTCGTTTATTTTTACCCAGTGGGCTATGTTGACTATGCTTCGAATACTCGCTCCCATCTATCCAGGAAAATTGCCGCAGTCAGTGCATGCTGTTGAATTTGATTGTGGCCTATAGCCTGCCATGACGCGCCGAGTGTAAAGCCCATATTTTTTGGGACTAATTTACTTCAGCAAACACCGAATATCCTCAAAGACACTAAATGTGGAGCCGTTTAGGCGTCAGAGACTGCATTGGTACTTGTTGAGTTTTGTTGTTTTTCAGGAGTACGGATGAAACCAATTTGGACTGCACGCAAAGTATTCCGTTCCCTCCCCCTTCCAAAGATACGCTAGCCCTGACAGTTAGCGCTGGATGGCCAATTCAACAGCCAATGTGAGTCCAATGTGCCAAATTCTCGCGCGACATTACACGAGCCAATTTTCATTCCTGAGCCGCGGGGAAATAATTTGCGCCTCGCCTGAATCTGCTGGGTGGAAAATGAATGACTTGTTTGAGTGAGTCCATAGAACAACCTGCACAGTAGCATACGACAAACGCCATAACTAGACACCGCAGTTAATAACGCACTCGCGCAAACAGTGTAAATTCTTCTGTAAACATGTAAACACGAGATTAAGTTTGAAGTCCCAAATCCATGCATCAAAATTTCTAATACTAGAAAGAAGTCAAAACGACGCCCCAACAGAAAGCCAGTATCTTCACTCATAACATCCAAGATTATATTTGGCAACAGAGTGAAGAAGCGGGCCTGTGGGCGTACTCTCGTTTCATTTTGTAAGAATTTCGAAGTTTGGGATTCGGTAGATTCATCTGCCAATGCGAGATTTAGAGTTTGGACACGTTTTGTGAAGTTTTGGGATCTAATTATTTCATAATTACTGTCCACGGTTCTCCACCATCGACTGAATCGATGGATCGCTATAAATCTTCGAAGATGGCATGGAGCAACTAGTCACATTCGTGAGATTTTACCAAAGCCATTGTGCAGCGATTGCCAGGTCCACTGAGCTGCATTCAGCATAAAACCCAGCGCTCTTTGAAGGGACATGCTTTAGTTCCTACTGCTGAGGGAACTGCGCCAGGAGGTTATACGGGCAGCGCAGATTCCCAATACTGTAATTTTTGAGCGGAGTCTTACTCACATTTTCCCTGCTTGGTGGTAGGTTTTGGGGATTCCTGAATAGGAGTAGAAGTTTCTCCTTCGGTCAAGTGGTAATAACCAGTTGAAGTAATCCTTTTTTCGTAGTTAGCCCACAAGGCATGTATATATCTGGTAGAAGCAGGCCTTATCCAGCCATAATACAGTTCCGCAATGACACATCTCTTTGATTATCGGAATAAGGTCCGGGGACCGTTTCGTATCTTGCTAAGGCAGTCTGATAACTGCAGCTCTGTCGAGGCCAAACGTTGATTCAACAATAAGTTGTGATACACCCAAAATCCCTTCATGTATCAGTGTCATAAATAAATACTGAAAACAATTGTTTGATAATTGGCCAAGATATTGCCTCCACCACGCGTAAAATTCATTGCGGTGCCAGTCTAGTAGCAGAGTCTTGGTTGATCCACTTTGTCTCATTTACTACTCACCACTGATGTGGCCAAGCTACCGATTCACGTCAGTTCAAGCATCATCCATCTGAGATTTCCCGATCTCCCTGTCATGATGTAAAAGACATTTGGCGAATACCTGGCCCAGTGAAAGCATCTCGACAATTTTGAAACCTATCGATGGATAGTATCCGCCTCAATCCAAAAACTATGTTTGTTGTCTTCAGTGAAGCCAGTGTTGGAACGTATACACTGTTCGCAGCCACAGTGGATCGGCTTGCTATTCCATCCGGAGTGGAGCACGATTTGAGTGGACTCAACAGGCTTCAAGGTCCAAAAATGTTCGATGCGGTCGTGTGGGGTAAATTCGGCACTGTCCTTCTAACTAGTAACTGATTTATAAGATTTTACATCGTGATCCACCTTCTCAAAGACTTTTGAATGGTAGGCCCCTTTCCGTTCCCTTCTCCGATATGGCTCCCATAACTCTTTAATTTCTACTCAGTGGGAGCGGTTCGCCGTACGAGTCAGTTGACTTGGTTGTCAGTCCGATCCCACAGTTATAGGTCACCTTGAAGAACCTGAGTGCTTCCGACCAGCCTGCAAAGAAACGAGCACAACAGGTGCAGGCATACGAATCCCACAGGTGAAGTTTGAAAATAGATGTGCAGACTCAAGAGTCTGTGCTTCACACTGGCCAAATAGCCTCAACAATCGATACGATAGTTCTGCTAGTACTTCGCACGAACTTGGTCACGGTCAGCCACGTAAGGGGGTAACACCAATCCATTTATTAGTCTTGCTAACCCAACACCAATCCATTTATTAGTCTCCCCTTGCTAACCCAATGGTTATTCTTTGGGCCTATTGAATAACGGAAAATTGAATTCGATGGTCATGCCTCAATCACCTCAGCACCTGGCGGAACAAGTCAAAGCGTGCAGCAACCCTGTCAATTATGAATGATTGCAAGGAGCTACCGGCCACCCGACATGATATCTATCACTAACAGTGAATGGGAAGCACAAGACATAAGCTACGGTGTTTCGAGACGGTTTGTACCTTACCCATGAGGACCTATTCGGACAGCGTCAGAGGACGATAACAAAAATGATACTGAACCAGCTGCTCAACCACAACAACTTTTCGGTTGCTAGTTGCAACGTCGCCCAAAAAACACGAGTAATGAGATACTAACGCACTGCCTAGTCATGTCACGTAGAAGCCAGATGCTGAGTTTATATTTGATTCATAGTCTAAGCTTAAGCCAATTTTCTCTTTAACTTCTGCTTAAACAAAATTGCAATCAGTTGGGTGATTTGGTTGAGTGAATTGCCATGCGGACCGTAAATTTTGGTTGTAGGTTTTCGAGAAATGACAATAACCTGTCATGTTGGAGCAGAATCCATCTTATATCTACCTATCTATCTAGTATACTTTACTATCCGTCTACTTTACAGTTTATCGTTTGTACAGTCCTAACTAACCATCTGGCTTTACTCCTGAAACCGTTCCATGTGGCCATTATTCCGCAAGGCAAAATTGCAGGTTTGTCCTCTTTCGATCCCGTTTTATCATAACTTTATCATAATTGATATTCGAACACTGAAGTTTCACATCTGGAGGGTAAGTGGAGAAAATTTTCTCAATGGTTTCTTGTTCTACCAACCCTTAAAGGTCTTTTTTCGACGTGCCAGTCATCAGTGAAAGATGAAAATTTGTCATTACAAACATTTGCCAATCACATGTAGGCTTCTGGAATATCTGAGGCAAGTATTTGGACGAGAAAATCATGACAAAGGCAGACACATCTTATGCTTCCAGTTTCCGAATATATACGTGAATGAGTGATTGGACCGGATGCTTATAGCACCTGGATGGTTGTAACAGGATGCACTGCTCGTTTCCATTTGTCGTCAACGCAACATTTCTTGGCACAAGCAGAGATTAACAAAGACTTCATCTTCCTGAGAAATAAAACGGCATCCTCCGGATATCTATTGGATGTCTTGAAGCGGTCACGATGAAGTAGACTGAAAATTGTACTGGCTTTT